ATATATAAAGACAGGCCATGATATATATAAAGACAGGCCACGATAAATATAAAGACAGGCCATGATATAGGTCATGACAGGCCACGATATATATAAAGACAGGCCATGTTATATATAAAGACAGGCCACGATATATATAAAGACAGGCCATGATATATATATATATGAGGACAGGCCATGATATATATAAAGACAGGCCATGATATATATAAAGACAGGCCATGATATATATAAAGACAGGCCATGATATATATANATGGTATATCATATTTTGAAGTTAATTTGTTACTTATTTGGATTTGGATTTGTCATTTCAAAATGTCTAGCATACACATGGCTTCTGTTTTTGTTCGGATTGTTATTTAAACAATATAATAAAAAAAACTGTGTCAACATTTACGATTGTACTGCTCTGAGCAACGTACATAGAACAGCTCTGTCCCATACCCCATTCTTCTCTCTGTTTCTCTCACACACTTGTCAGTCCTGTCATTAATGATTACATCATATTACAGTTGATAACAACAACTTTCAAGGTTTACTTGCAACAGCCGCAAAATATGTTCGTTTCAAAGTCTATAGATTTCGACATCAATGCTAGGAAAATGGCAAACGAGAAGAGGTTGAGACCCTTTTCGAATGCATTAGATCAGAAATGTCTCTAGTAAAGATTTTGAAAATCGAAAACAAGTATATTTTAACTGTATTTTGTTTTGAACCTCTAAATGTTCATATTTTTATAATAAGTACGTAGTACAACCCCCTCAGCTGACAAAGTATCTAATATTATACAAGATCCCTGCGTAAAGAGCTTGATTTGTTAGATAATGTAGGGGACCCTTCTATCATGCCGAGACACAACATAGATCTGTACACGTCTCATATGGCTTTCAAATACAGGCCCTTATACAGTTTTTATTTCCATAATGGTGTATTGCATTCACTTGTTATCAGCTTAACAATTTCCCCTTAAAATCCCTAATAAATAATATTAACCAAGATGTGATAATGCTCATTTCATAGCGTCATTATCCAAATGTTGATTGTCATCAATCCTAAATCTTAGAACATCCCTGTTACATTGTTTGACTTCTGAACTTATTTACCCCTAATCTTTATGCTAAATGTATTTTATCCCATACCAATCGAGGAGATTTATTGTCGTCACAACCCTAGACATCATAGAACCGCTGTTGTCACACAGGTATACATGGTAATCAAACCGCACGCCGACGGCCGGGACATCTTATCGTCTGCCACGGCCGGGACATCTTATTTTCTCCCACACCTGACAGATTTATCTCCCGTTTTGCCGGTGCTAGATTTATCTGTCTCCGCCCTAGGGTTGAGACGGGGGGATTCCCCTATTTATAACAATGGTATGACGTCACTGCAACAATACAATGACGTCACGTCAACAATCCATCAACGTCACGTCAACCCTGAATTTAGCATGTAACGTTATCATTACATTGTGTATATGATACACATTGGGGAAAACAGGGTACATGTAAGAGAAAAAGAATCATTCACCCCCTTGTGGGTAAGATAGGGGAATCTCAACCCTCGGG